CGTGCGACTATTCAAGCGAATAGTCGCGAGCCATGAGCCCATTCTCACTGCTGTCAATCACGGCGCAGCCTCTGACTTGACCCCCTTGATTGCCACCATCAAGATCGCTGTTATCATCTTCTCGACCTCTCCACCACCTGACAACCTACAAAGTTATCTTGTCGCTTCGCAGCCACGCCATCCTCTTGATCTGGACTCAGTCGCTTCGCTCTCCTACTCTGCACGTCCATGGTACGTCTCAACCTGACACCATCACCCAACTGTCCCCGCTGCGGCAAAGCAGTGTATGCGGCGGAGAGCATCATAGGTCCCGCTGGCAAATCTTACCATAAGCCATGTCTGAGCTGCATCGTGTGCAGAAAGAGGCTGGACAGCACGCTGCTATTGGAACATGAAGGCGAAGCCTTTTGCAGGAATTGCCATCGAGCTCATTTGGGACAGGGAAAGGGAGGGTTCGGATTGAGCGTGCCTTTGCAGCCCAAGATCCCGCCCGATGGCAGTGCTGGCACTGCAAGCACTAGGACGACTCCAACGGCACCTGGCAGCGCAAACGACCCACAGCCTGTGCCTTCCTCGGAGCCGAGTGAGGATCCTTCGATCCCTCGCCTTCGACCTCGCGATGTGAAAGTCGAGAAGCGGCACGATGAAGGCGCATTGACTCTAGCAGATCATGTGCCCGAAATCCATATCACGTCCAGAGGCAAGGCAGACGATATCATTGGAGTGCAGACCCGGGATAGGGCGAGGGATGAGATCGCGCACGGAGCAGATGGCAGTGCCCCTATTTCGGAAACTTCGTCCAATGGCAAATCTCCTCGCTCCATCGATGACATTATCGCTTCTGGCGTGGAAGTACCTACGCCTATCAGCAGGCTCTCCAGCGCTCGTGCTCGCGGTGCGGGTCCAGGTCATCCTACCGCAGCTCCAAGCGCTTCCAGCGCACGCAGCGCATCTTCTGCGCCTCAGCATGGTCAGACGTCCACTGCCACAACAGGGATCATTGGCAGCGTGGCC